TGTCCACACCAAAGCTGTATATGAATGTTTATAACGACTTAACTTATTGCCAAACCTGGAGGCAACCAAGATATTCTTTGGTAGGTGAAGGGATAAATATACTGCAGCACATCCATACAGTGAAATCATATTATTCTGTGATAAAAATAAATGAGCCATCGAGACATAAAAAGTCGCGAACAATGAATCACGGAACACTACATCAAAAACTAATGATGTAATGTATGGTGATTAACATAATAAAATAAAATTTAAAAAAAAGATACGGAAGAAACTTAAAAGCAAATAATTAAGTGAAAGAAAGCAACCCGAAAAGGCTACACATACTGTGTGAGTCCAACCCCAGGACATTCTGGAAAAGGCAAAATTATGGAAGCAATAAGAAAGATCAGTGGTGGGCGCCTGGGTGGCTCAGTTGGTTAAGTGACTGCCTTCGGCTCAGGTCATGGTCCCAGGGTCCTGGGATCGAGTCCTGCATCGGGCTCCCTACTCTGCAGGGAGCCTGCTTCTCCCTCTCCCACTCCCCCTGCTTGTGTTCCTTCTCTCGCTGTGTCTCTCTCTGTCAAATAAATAAATAAAATCTTTAAAAAAAAAAAAGAAAGATCAGTGGTTGCCAGGGGTTGGGGGATGGAAGGATGAAGAGGCAGAGCACAGGAGTTTTCGACAGTGAAACTATTTTGTATGATATTATAATGATGGGTGCATGTCATCATACATCTGTCAAAGCTCATGGGATGTACAACACCAAGAGCGAACCCTCATGGGAGCTATGGACTTCAGGTGGTAATGACGTGCTGATGTAGGTTCGTCCATCCATCGTAACAGATACACTACTACTGTGTGGCAGACATCAATGGTGGGGAGGTACTGGGTTTGGGCAAACAGGGAATACATGAGAACTCTCTGCACTTTCCATTCAATTTTGCCATAACCTAAAACTGCGCTAAAAAATAAAGTCCATTCAAAGAAATTCCTGCTGAATGGCGAAAGCTGAGCACTTTGGGGAAAGCATGAAACCTGATGAGAGGCTTGCGGTGGATGGCACTAGGTGATGGCGGAGGGAAGCCCAGAGGAAACCCAATAGAAGCTGAGCCACAGGGAGCATGGGCGGGAGTGTTCCATGCTCACACTGGTGCAGAACCGCACAGAACAGGCACTGAGGCAAGATCAAGCGTGTAAGGGATTTCTGCTCTCTTCATATCATCCTAAAGCTTCCTGTGGCTAAAAGCTGAGACTCCAAGGCAGAATGTCGCTGTCATAGGATATGTTTGCAACAATGTAGGGATGCAAATGCGAAATTCAGAGAGAATAGAGAATTTATGGCCAAAGATGATAGGAAAGAATGTTCAAGATGATTGGGAGGCAATTGATCCTCAGTATTTAAACTTCAGTGATCTTTTGTTTTATTTTATATTTATTTATTTGAGAGAGAGTGGCTGAGCAAGAGAGAAATGGAACAGGGGGAAGGGTAGAGGGAGAAGCAGACTCCCCCCTAAGCAGGGAGCCCGACACGGGGCTGGATCCCCGGACTCCGGGATCATGACCCGAGCAGAAGGCAGATGCTTAACCGACTGAGCCCAGGCGCCCCTAAACTCCAGTGATCTTAAGGAAGAAAGGGTAAAGTTCCATTTGATCCAAAGGAGCATCTAATAAACTCTTGCCCCACCTTGACATTAATTCTGGAAACAAGGAAACTGAGTCTGAGTCAGTTATAGACTACGGATCTCGTAAGTGGAGGCAGGGCTTAAACCTCCATGTGACTGCAATTCCCTCCCCTCACTGCACCCCGCCTCACTCCAACCCACGCCTCTTACTAGAAACGGAGGGAACCTGCTGAACCCAAAGAGTGCGGTGGCTGGATCTCTGCCCGGAATTTCTGGATGCGACTTGACTGACTGTCCTCTGCCCCGGGCCAGAGGCTGCTTGGTTAAGAGGTGCTCGAGCCGAAACCAGATGGTCACGGACGCAGGCGTTAACATCAGACTGGAAAATGACGACAGGAAGGGGGCACACGGATACGCTGCGCTTCTGGGCTTTTCCTATCCTGCCATCTGAAAATGACCACAGAGGGAAATGTGAACGATCAAGCATCCTAATCGCATTTGCTCCCAACTAACCCGTGCAGATGTTTCTCGGTGCTTCTCACCCCGGTGCGGACACGTCACGTAGCGGGTTTTAAAGCGCAGATGCCCAGGCGTGCTGCGCCCCCTCATCTGAGGATTCTTCCACGTTGCTCACTTCGACCAGTCAGACTTCCTCCAACTTCACAGCAATGCCTCGTCTGCTCTGCCTTGCTGGTGACAGTGGCAGGCCCACAGTGTTCGTAGAGCGGTTTAAAGCCCACAGGCTGGTCGCTGCCGTGCGAGTGTGCATGTGGCCTTTGAGTAAGACTGACGCATTCATTGTCGAAGGAGAAAGAGCCCGACTGAGGCCTGTGGACTGGGAAACCAGAGGTTCTACCACTACCTCGTTAGAAAAACCGACGCTTACTCCCATAGTGGGCACTTTCCAGTTTTTGACGGAAAACCTGTATTGATTTAAACACAGTAGAGCAAACACCATTTAACCCCGTAAGTCCTCTTAGAACATGGGGAGGCCTCGGGGAGCCGAACCGTGGGCTGTCTGTCCCTACCCCAGGGGGCGTCCTGACACCGTTGTTCCCGTTGCTACCTGTTGTCTTCTCCCTTCTCAGTGGGGATTTCTTGTCTGGCCAGCTCCCACCAGCCACCTTCCATTTTGAGGCTTCGAAGCTGTTGGGAAGTGGAAAACAGTTGCCCAGCCTGTAATAAATGTGTGTCCCAGGAGCACCCGAAAGCTCCCAGCAAGAGGTTCTTCCTGAAGATTCCAGAGTAGGCTGTTGGGAAGTCACAGTGCCCATGCGTCTGCTTGGATGGCGGCCCGGTTCTTGTGGATGTGTTCCCAACAGCGAGGCTGCAGCGGAGACCCCCAGAAAAAGGCCTTTCAATGCAGCACCAACCCCATCACCTCTACCACACGAGCCCCGACAGCATTTAAGAGGCCCAAAGAGCTGGTGCTTGCTAACTAGCCACAATCAAGTGGTGCCGGCCGAGCCACGGTAGGGTTTATGCCAGGATGTCAGGCATGCGGAAAGAATTAACGATCAGCTCGGCTACGGTGAGACTCCTTTGAAGTTTGTATTAACCAACGACAAACCCCCAGGAAGATGATAGAATAGTAAAGCTTTGACCCAACATTTTGATATTCCATTTTTAGTTAAAGGAATAAAAATCTCTTTTTTTTTTTTTTTAAAGATTTTATTTATTTATTTGACAGAGAGATAGAGAGCACAAGTAGGCAGAGTGGCAGGCAGAGGGACAGGGAGAAGCAGGCTCCCCGCTGAGCAGGGAGCCTGATGCGGGGGCTTGATCCCAGAACCCTGGGATCATGACCTGAGCCGAAGGCAGACGCTTAACCGACTGAGCCACCCAGGTGCCCCCAAATCTCTTTTTCTTAAGAAAGGAGTTTATTAAAGGGCACAGGAGAATCATGTTTGTAGAAAGCGTCCTGTAAATTCTTTCTCTTTCGCTTCGCTATTTCGACAGGATGATAGCTTGCTTATAGGGCAAGCTGCCCCCCGCGGCTCACCCCTGCTGCTCTTCCCCAGATCAGGGGCTCCGTCAGAGAGGAGCTGTGCAGGTGGGTGACGAGGCACAGGCTGACACTGAAAAGGAAAACTCACCTAACAATGGGGAAGGGCGACTGATCGCGTACTGCACACACGTCAAGCGCCCGTGCTCAGAGCATTCGGTGAGGTAGCTTCCTGTTCCTGGGGACAGCCAGGGAGCTGAGTGCAGCTCCTATCCTCCATTCGATCCTGAGAGAACTGAGCTTGCTCAAGGCCGAGCGGTGGTTAAGTGGCTTTTAGGGATTCTAAGCCCTTCCACCAGATTTGGACAGACCTCAAAGAATGACGGAGACCTGTAAGTTCTCACCAAAAGGATATTCGGTGAAAAGAGAACATTTCCGTTAAAATTGAAGAGGGCATTTGAAAACATCGTTGGCCTCCTTTCTACTCCTCTAACACCGCTACACATATTGTGGTCCAGGCCCCAGCAGCATCGCCCTTCCCGGGAGGGAGTTGGGAATGCAGAGCCTTGGGCCCCACCCCAGCCCTCCTGAGTCAGAACCTGCCTTTAAGGGCAGCCAGGTGCTCTGCGCGCTCACTAAAGCTTGAGAGCATCCCTCCCTTCTCTGGGTTGGAATGCTCTTCCCCAGGATTTACCTGCCTGATTTCTTAACTCTGCTCAAGGTCCCCTCCTCTGAGTCTTCCCTGGCCTCTACATGCAAAGCAAGAATTCTCTTTGGCTCTCTATCAGCTGACCCTGTTTAATTTTACTTCAGAGCAATCGTCACTTCTGAAATCCGAGTGTTCCTCCCACACGCTGCAAACTCCATCCAGGCTAGGACTCCACAGCCCCAGCACCTAGGGCGATAGCTGGGACAGAAATGCCTGACAGATAGTTCCGTGAAGGACCACTTTCTGTGCAGGACGATATACTGTGTAAAACTCCCACAGTGGAGGTCCCTGGGAAACTACGGAGAGGGACGTGCGCCTCTCACCCTTCTGTACTTTTTGTAAGTTTTCAAGGGAGGATGCACTGTTTTTCTAATTTATGAAGCACTTTTCAAATAATTTATCCAACTATCTCAAGATAGATCCCACCACAAACACAAAGCAGATTACATCTTTCCTTTTAAAAAGGTTTTAGGCTTTATTAACTTATCAGATTCTACTTTAGTAAATAAGAAACCATTTCCTTTTAGGGGCCTGTTCGTTTCCCCCCCAGAAATGCTATTATGCCATGCAAAGAGTTTTAGTTTTGAAACTCAGACATTACGACTACATCGTGGGGACCATGCATCATCCCCAGCAGCAGGTCCAGAAGTGGCCCAGACCCCGGTGCTTGGCTTAGAATGACTACCACGAGTGGCACATAGATTGAGCAGGTTCAAATCAGAGCCCACAAAAGAAAACAATCTTCACTGATGAATCATTTATTTGGACAAGACAAAAATGTCTCCACATTGTTTCCTTTTATACAGAAAGTGGAACATTTCAAATATATTAGGTTTTCTCTTTTTCAACAGAATTCATTTCAATCTGGTCCCAGGAACTTCTTCTCATTTTAGGATTCACGTTTTAGTAACACATATGCACCCATTACAGCCAAAAGAGCATACTGTAAAGAAAACACAGTGGGAAATTACTGTGAGCTCTACAAATTAGTTTGGTCTATAAATGTATTCAGATGAAGTCTGCTCAGTGCTAGACTGAGGACAGAATCAAAAGATGACCTCTTCCCCCTTGCCTGGTTCTCCAAACTAGCTGTTCAATGCCACATTATGGTTTAAACCGCCCCCCAAATATATTGATGGACTAAGGATCAAGCACCCAACAAACACGGCTAATTCACTGCTCATTCTTGCGTAGGTTCCCTATTGTTTTTCAAGTGGTTTTTTAAAAAATATAGATACCATTTTTATTGAGGTTGAGAGATCATCATTACTGGGTTTATTGTACTACTTTTTTTGTATGTTTAAAGATTTCCGTGATAAAAAGCAACAAATATAGAGGTGCCATTTTAGAATACACTATGAACACAAAAGATGAAAGTAGCTATTTTAAATAACTGATTTAAGTGTTAATTTAAATGGTTATATTAATTTGTAGTTAAATACAAACACTCTGCAAAAAACAAACAAAACAAAAAAACCCAGCAAAACATTTTAAACAGACTGCATCTTTACAGCGGCACGTGCAAAAAGCTCCAATGTATATACATTTTTTTAATGCAGACATACAGACACATTCCTACCTTGAATTTTGGGTAGTCATTCATTATTATGGTGACCATACCAACATATGGTAAAAACCTAAATTGTGGGATGAAAAGCCAGAAATATAAAAATTGTTTGTAAAATGATGATAGCAACATTTAAAAACACTCTAAATCAGCCTTAGGACACAAATCTTCCTTGGGAATAGCCTTGATTAGGGCTGTAAAACTAACATTTACTCCTGCCTCAAAAGGCTTTCTTAATCAAAAGCATCATGACTAACAGCAGGATGATTTTTTTAGGCAAGCACATGATTTCAACTAGAGATGCCACTTGTCTTCGCTCACTGCATTCACCCAAACAGAATTAAAATAATTAGTTGAGGGGCGCCTGGGTGGCTCAGTCATTAAGCGTCTGCCTTCGGCTCAGGTCATGATCCCAGAGTCCTGGGATCGAGCCCCGAGTCAGGCTCCCCGCTCTGTGAGAGTCTGCTTCTCTCTCCCCCACTCCCCCTGCTTGTGTTCTCTCTCTGGCTGTCTCTCTCTCTGTCAAATAAATAAAAAAATCTTAAAAAAAAAAATCCTTTAAAAAAAATAAATAATATAATTAGTTGAGCCACTTGTACCAATGGAACCGACAGCTGCTATCAAGCTAGTTTTTAATTTTTTTAGTGGAGAAGTCACATCTAGACAGCCTATATAAAGATGGCTGTTAGGGAAAACTTTCAAAATACATGGAGAATTAGCTTGTAACTGGAAGAACCATCATCATTTTCATTTCGTGGGGCTTTTCAGATGTAACAAACAGGCTTATTGGGCAGTGAATATAGATGTGAGTCCTGTAATTTATACCCACATGATTATGATCACAGACACAGAAGGTCTGGGGCATAAGCGAGCCAATGATTCTCCTGACAAAATTTATGAGAAGATGCAATCAGTGGGGACACCTGGGTGGCTCAGTCGGTTAAGTGCCTTTGGCTCAGGTCATGATCTCAGGGTCCTGGGATCGAGTCCCGAATCAGGCTCCTTGCTCAGCAGGGAGTCTGCTTCTCCCTCTGCCTGCCCCTCCCCCTGCTTGTGCACTCTCTGATAAAGAAATAAATAAAATCTTTTAAAAAAAGGATGCAGTCAGTGGACCCAAGCCTCACCTCACTAAGGGGAAACCAGGTAAGGCAACCAGTCCTATGTAGATCAGCAGCTCCAAGCTCTCCTTTATATGAAGCCTGACCCAGGACATCTAAAAATAGAGGACTGACTAGCTGGAAGTCTCTCTCTTCTCCCCACAGATACTCCAGTGGAAACGCAATAGGGTAAAGGAGTTAGAAGATGAGCAGAGGTCTCAAACCACAATCTGACTGATAGAGCTAAATCTTAGAAAATGGTAACCAAGTTCTCCAGCCTTAAACAGCTCGAGGGATTTAGAGAAGATTAAAAAGACACTTCTAACAAGGGTTAAACATAAAAAACAGTCACCAAGAGAGGGGAAGAATTGCCTTTTTTGTTTTTTTAATAAGAGGATACACGCTCTGCTGTGTCAGTCAGAAGCAGAACTCATTGCTGGAACAATTATGTAAAGATGAATATTAAAAGATTTATCACATAACTGTTTCTGGTAGAGAAAAACAGGAAATAGTCTGTCCACCAAAAGAGGATTGGCTAAGTTAGGATTTTATGATTCTCAGTGGAACAACAATACATACCCACTTAAAAATACATGGGTGTAGATTTGACACAGAAATCTATTTCCAACTTCTTGTTGGGTGAAAAAATAAAATAAAATTCTACTATGTAAAATTACATATTGTATATGTACACACATCTGCATAGGTACAGGGAATGTCTAGAATATTCCCTTGAGTGTTAAACAGTGGTTATCTCTGGGAGGATTTCTTGTAACTGCTATTTAAAACCACAAATAACTAATCTCTAGGTGACGATTTCTTTCAAAAACAGAATTAAACCAATGATATAGATAATATACTTGCATTCAGTTTTAGATTCCTTAGTTCTGAGTGGTATTTACACAGTAAATGCAGTACATGGACTACTTACAAGTGATTCCATTATCTTATACGCTTAGTTTCTTAGTTTCTTTTTTTTTTTTTGAGGGAGGGAGGGAGAGAGAGAGAGAGAGGGAGACTGAAAGAGAGAAAGAGAGAGAGAGAGGAAGGGGCAGAGAGAGAATCCCCAGCAGGCTCCACACTCAGCACGGAGCCCAGTGCAGGGCCTGATCTCATGACCTGAGATCATGACCTGAGCTGAAACCAAGAGTTGGACGCTTAACCAACTGAACCCACCCAGGCACCCCTAGTTTCTTTGTTACTATTTTTCTGGTTCCTGAATCTTTTATATAACTTAAAAGTTAATGCTCACCCTCTGGCCCTTCCCACCACATCCTTCTTCTCAAGCCAGTTCTGGCCCTCTTTGTACAAGCCTCTATCGTCAACTTCATTATTGTCTCCTTTAGTCAGAAATTTGATGTCTCCATTATCTCTAGAAAGCAAAATAATGTCCTTTCACAAATGATTTTCAGCACAGCATCGTTAGAAAACAATTAGTTTACCCAGCATGTCACAGTCGGATACGGGCATTCAGATGAGCATTCGACAATAACTAGATCTTTCCTGGTCTAAGGTGATCGCTTACAGATAACCATCCAACTAACACGCAGGTCTGCTGGCGATTTTGCAGACTCAAATTCTAAAATGCTCATGTTACCCTGATAACCAAAAAGCATGGCAAAGCACGAGGGCACCAGCAAGGCAATGATTAGCTCCCAGCAACTGTTTTCATTCTCTTAGTCCTCAAAGACCAACTTGTGAACATGGATTATATTCCCCTTCACTCTAGACATGAACGTGGTCCTAGATCACACGGATTTGAGCACAAGCTAATTCAATGCGGGTGTGCCCTTACCCCTCCTCAAACTTACTTCTCCTTGCCAAATGTAGAATGTTAATGCATTGTTTCCTTCAGCACTGAGCAAAGTGGTATAAAATCCGGTTTGCAAAGAAACAGGAATCACAAATGGCATAAACCAGTGTGTTAAAGAGACCCATGGGACTAATTTTAAACATTCTAAACCGGCGCTTACATAGCCTTGACACTAGACACACAACATTACAGCATTACAGAGCTATAAAGAGGGTCTTCTTTCAATAAGACAAATGAAAAAAAGCACTATTACAATTAGATAAAATATTAGAAGCCCACAACGATTTGAAACCAGCCAGAAGCAGCAAGCTGATGTGCAGCTGCGGTTATAAAGGAAATCAAGAAGATAAAACCCCGAGCAGCCTCTCCCACAACTCATGCAAATTACAGAAAATCACCATTATTTCCTCAACTGTGAATAACTTTTCATCTGTAGAAATTATTTCTAAGTCAGCTGTCACGTTACGACCATGCATATTTCTTTATCAGTCAGTTAACAAGTGGACATCAAGTCCCATCCTGTAGAACCACAAATGCAACGCAAACGGAAACAGGGTCATTCCAATGTTTACAGCAAAGCAAAGTGACAATTTTAAGTATCGACTTCTTGGGGGACCCCTGCAAGCAGCGAATGGAATGGGAACCTAACACTGGAGATACACAAATAGTTACAGGACACTCGTGTGTACACACACCCACCCATACACCCACACACACCCAGGCGCGATGAGAAACGCTCTGTTATTTAAAAAACACAAATACACACGTCAGTTTAATTCCATAACTCAGGCAGGTAAAAATGCTACACTAAGCTGCAAGAGGTAAATGAATAACCCAGTATATAGAAGGTAATATTTTCACTAATCATGTGACTGTACCCTCCCTTGGGAACTTAATATATTTGAGGTAGAAGTCAGTGTTTCTCGTTCCCAAAAAGTGTCTTCAGAAGCCACCACTGGCATTTAAAGGAAAGGAAGACCATCTGTGGGGGGAGAACTGAAGCAGGACACGCAGTGACTGAACCCCGAGCGGGGCCGCCGTCCAGGGCTAAGGCTACAGCTGTGAATGCCGCTTGGCCCGAAGTGACACACAGAAACAGGCAGCTTTCTGCATTTCACAAAACAGTCCTCACATCATCATCATCCTCAGCTGCAATGGGACTGGATTTTCTCTGATACTCCTTCAAATAACTATTAAACTGTCGTACCTTCCACCTCCCATTGTGCAGCAACTTAAGTTACTGGGTGCTTCCGGAAACACCTGTCTGTTCAGTTCTCACACTCGCCCTGTGAGTCACGATGGGAAATGGTAATGTTATCATGCCCGTCTTACAGACTGGGTAAAGTAGCAGGTCCGCAGTGACCCAATTAGTAAATGGCAGGACTAGGAGCACAATCCAGAGCATCTGCTACTTTCTACTCAACCATGAAAACTGGCTACTGAAATTGAATCACAAATTCCACACCTGAAACTAATATTACACTGTATGTTGACTAACTGGAATTTAAATAAAAACTTGAGGAAAAAATGGAAAAAAAAAGTTGGATAACAATCAGTGCTAGTGGAATGAATGAATGAATGAATGAATAAATAAATAAAATAAATCTGGCTACCAAAATTTATAAAACACCACCAAAAAGAAGTCAAGTCACCTTACTTTTCATGAACTTTGATCACTCTGTGAACTATTGGAATGTCTCGTCCTTCGACTTTAAAGACCACAATTTCACCCGCTCTAATAGGGTCTTCCCGAAAGTTTGTCAGGAACAGAAGGTCACCTCTGTGAAAGGCTGGCTCCATACTGCCACTGGGAAGAAACACAAAATCACATCCAATTAGCCTGGGCTCACAGGGGAACTTTTCAATTCATGAAGAACACAAAAATAAACCTATCAGTGAAAGTGTCCACCTCCATCAATTGTCAGGTAGGTCTGGGAGCTATCAAACATGCCACAGTGGTTCCCTTCTGACTGCTCACGATGATGACATCAAGTGAGAAAGGAAATGATTTCTTCTTAGATTAAGTATAAAAAGGATAGTAGCAGGCCCCACTGTACTTTGTATTAGGTAGAAAAAGAACCAAGTATAATGTGAACACTTTGAAGTAAAAGCTGCCAATTTTTAGCCTCAAAAAAAAGGTTCTACATCTATAAATACATTACTATTTTCATTCAGAAGTGCAGACCCATCCCCCACCCCCACCCCCCTCTGAAACCCTCAGTTTTGTTTCCCAGGGTCCATAGTCTCTCATGGTTCATCTCCCTCTCTGATTTCTCCCCCTTCAGTTTTCCCCCCTTTTCCCTATGTTCCTCCGTGCTATTGCTTATGTTCCACATATGAGTGAAACCATATGATAAATGTCTTTCTCTGCTTGACTTATTTCACTTAGCATAATCCCCTCCAGTTCCATCTGTGTTGATGCAAATGGTAGGTATTCATCCTTTCTGATGGCTGAATAATATTCCATTGTATATATGGACCACATCTTTATCCATTCATCTGTTGAAGGGCATCTCAGCTCCTTCCAGTTTGGCTATTGGGACAATGCTGCTATGAACACTGGGGTGCATGTGCCCCTTCGGATCACTACACCTGTATCTTTGGGGTAAATACCTAGTAGTGCAATTGCTGGGTCGTAGGGTAGCTCTATTTTTAACATCTTGAGGAACCTCCATACTGTTTTCCAGAGTGGCTGCACCAGCGTGCGTTCCCAAAAAACAGTGTAAGAGGGGTTCCCCTTTCTCCACATCCTCCCAACATTTGTTGTTTCCTGTTTTGTTAATTTTTGCCATTCTAACTGGTGTAAAGTGGTATCTCATTGTGGTTTTGATTTGTATTTCCCTGATGGCTAGTGATGTTGAGCATTTTTTCATGTGTCTGTTAGCCATTTGTATGTCTTCTTTGGGGAAGTGTCTGTTCACATCTTCTGCCCATTTTTTGACTGGGTTATTTGTTTTTTAAGTGTTGAAAACTGGCTACTGAAATTGAATCACAATGAAGTTCTTTATAGATCTTGGATACCAGCCCGTTATCTGTAGTGTCATTTGCAAATATCTTCTTCCATGCCGTGGGTTGCCTCTTAGTTTCACTGAGTGTTTCCTTTGCTGTGCAGAAGCTTTTTATCTTGATGAAGTCCCAAAAGTTCATTTTTGCTTTTGTTTCCCTTGCCTTTGGAGACGTGTCTTGAAAGAAGTTGCTGTGGCCAATGTTGAAGAGGTTACTGCCTATGTTCTCCTCTAGGATTTTGCTGGATTCCTGTCTCACACTGAGGTCTTTAATCCATTCAGAATTCATTTTCCATATGCTCATGCTGTGTCATAATGCATGAGAAAATAAATAAGACCAAACAATATTGCAATATAGAGGCTGTATGATCAAAAACCAGTGAGAAGTTTGTTGAGGGCAGGATGCAGTGAGGAAGAACCAGACTAGTGAAGAAATGGAGTGCTTTAAAGGAAAATGTGAGTTAAAATGGCAGCAGCTCAAGAAGTTGGCCCTCCTGTCCCTCCAGGCCCTGGACCACCTTAAACTTGTCAGCACATGCAGATCAGCAAAGAGAAACACAGCGGAGACTTGCCTGTCACTAAGTACTTGCTGATGTGTTTATTATTTAAGTGAAACCAGTGACACTAAGTATCATAACAGATCTAGCATTCAAAAATAGGAAGTCTGAATAAAAAACAGAGAGAGGGCTAGAAATATAAATGACTATGAGGGAAAAAAAGAGCAAACACTTAAGAACTACAACTAGAAAAACCTCCTGGATAAGTCTCAGAAGCAGAAGAGTACAGTTTGTCATCAAGGGTCATTATCGTTGGGGCGCCTGGGTGGCTCAGTCGTTAAGCATCTGCCTTCGGCTCAGGTCATGATCCCAGGGTCCTGGGATCAAGCCCCGCATCAGGCTCCCTGCTCAGCGGGAAGCCTGCTTCTCCCTCTCCCACTCCCCCTGCTTGTGTTCCCTCTCTCGCTATGTCTCTCTCTGTCAAATAAATAAATAAAATCTTTAAAAAAAAAAAAAGAAAAAGAGGGGCGCCTGGGTGGCTCAGTCATTAAGCGTCTGCCTTCAGCTCAGGACATGATCCTAGGGTCCTGGGATCGAGCCCTGCATCGGGCTCCCTGCTCAGTGGGAAGCCTGCTTCTCCCTCTCCCACTCCCCCTACTGGTGTTCCCTCTCTCACTGTCTCTCTCTGTCAAATAAATAAATAAAATCTTAATAAATAAATAAATAAATAAAATAAAAAAAAGAAAAAGACTCATTATCATGTCTCATGAGGAATGCACTTCTTTGGAATGTTTCACTAATATCAACTTACACTTGCTTTCCTCACAGTCCAGGGATTTCCCAAAGGTCAGTGTTCCCCAAGGTCACACATCTCTCACGATGTCAATAGTTTATGTTGACAAACCAAATTTAGAACTATAAAGGGTGCTTTTAAAAAAAGAAGTCCCTACAGACCGCAATGTTACAACAGTTTCTGTGTACAAGTGTGTCTGTGTGATTTAAGGAAAACCAGAACATCTGGGATCTAGTTTGGGCTTTGTCAAAAGTAACTAACTGTAAGATGCAAGTGGCTTGGCCTTCATGGGCCTCAGGCTCTTTATTTGTTAAGTAGGTGGGCCCATCTAAATTAGAGGTTTTTAATTTCTTTTTTTTTTTTAAGATTTTATTTATTTATTTGAGGGGGGAGCACACAAGCGGGGTGAGGGGCACAGGGAGAAGCAGACTCCTCACTGAACAGGGAGCCCGATGTGGGACTCGATCCCAGGACCCTGAGATCATGACTTGAGCCGAAGGCAGACAGACGCTTAGCTGAATGAGCCACCCAGGTGCCCCAGAGGTTTTTAATTTCTAATGAAAAAAAAAAGCTTAAAATCCTTCTTTTGAATGAAATCTTACCAGGCTGCATACCCATATACAATACATAAAAAATGGAGCTGTTATTACTGAAACAAGGCTGAGGCCTCTAGAATCCATGTATTTGCTCCCTTTCTCCTTCCTAACCTATCCACTGGACCCCAGGGCACTCCTAGGGCACAGTGTGAACGCCAGCGAATCAGAAACCCGTGTGCTCTTCTAAGGCTCCTAAATTTATGAAAGCAGTGTCTCTCTAGAAAGGCCCCTTGGCCAGCCACACCAGGGCAACTTGGTGAAGCCAGGGCCACGGCTGAAGCCCCGTGATATGGCAGCAAGGCCCAGTGGAGGGCAAGGGCACTGGTTTGGGAGGCACGAACCCTGCGTGCTGACCTTGGCTCCTCCACGGGCCAAAGGTGACCCTGCCCGGTCATGCTCTAGCCAACTGCTCCCCCTGTAAAGCACACGGGCTCCATCACCCCCGGCCCTCTCCCCCGCACCCCGCAAGGCTCGATGGTCTAGGCCACACTGGACAGGGAGCATCTTGAAGCACCTAAGGGCTCCCTAACATGTTTCTTTGATTTCAAACTGATTACGTTTCCCCCCTTGCACGACTTTATGGCCGTATGAAGTTAACTAAAGTATTAACTTTTCTCAAATTAACGTCCTGTGCTTTAGAAGAAGAACAGTCTCAGGGAGAGAGCAGCCCCGCACACAGTGCTGTCGAAGGCGCTTGAAACAGAGCACACTCTGCTGGGCACTGGGGAGATACGCTTCCCTGTCTGGTACAAAGAAAACCAAACCACAGTTTCAAACCACTTATGTTTAAAATCAATTTGTACACAAATAATCCCATAGGACTGTTATTTTAGGTGCATTAAAGCATTAAAATGCAAAAGCAAATATATAGTACCGGGGCTTTAGCATCCCCACGATGAAAGCTCTGAAGTGCGTGCTGAAAAAGGTAAGATGTTTCAACAAAGGCCAGAACGAAATGAAAACAGGTATCAACAAAGGAAACTCTAACAGTCTACCCAGTGAAAACACTGAGCGTTGGCTGTCACGCAGGCTTTCGCTCAGGCAACACTGCTCCTCTGTCTCGGGCAGGAGCGAGACAGCGTGCGGAACCTACCTCAGCACCACCACGATCGGGCTCTCGCTGCCAGTGAGGACGATCAAGCCTTTCCAGATCATAAGCGCAGAAGACACGATCATGGCAAAGTTTAAAACCTGGTAATAGAGCTGGAACGAGAAAGGCCAAACCCAAAGTGAAAACCAGTGGAAGAATATGCACAAACCCTAAGCTGGAGATGAGCTTGTTTACAAAAAAAACAAAACAAAAAGCTAAGTTGTGATTTTAGGATATTAAGCTAATTCACACAAACTGCAAACTCAGGTAGTATTTCAACTTTTGTCCCTGGAATGAGCCTTCTGTATATTATCTCTCTTTCAGTGAGCAATGAGAGAAAAAACCCAGAGCAATCCATGGGACCTACTTTGTTAAAGCCTCGATAAGACTCTACTTACCTCTCTGGGATTTCCCAGAACCTTTAACCCTGAAGAGTCCTGTTATTCAACTTCTACCCCGAGGGCCTCCTGCTCTAGTGTAGAGACTACCCGTCAGACCTGAGAGCCTGATGCACGCAGTGTGGTTTACCTAGAACCACTCATTAGCCACCTGGCCAAAGAGACCTCAAATGAGGCTTCAGAGTCCTATAGTACTTAGCGATGAGGCTGTTCTGCGTCTGAAATTACATTGCAAAGGGAACAAAAACTTTAAACATCTGGATGTTTAAATTTTCCATAAATGTTTTAAAAAGTAAAAAGCAAACAATATCTGGTTAAGAACATAGGCAGAATGAACCATGAGAGATGATGGACTCTGAAAAACAAACTGAGGGTTCTAGAGGGGAGGGGGGTGGGAGGATGGGTTAGTCTGGTGATGGGTATTAAAGAGGGCACGTACTGCATGGAGCACTGGGTGTTATACACAAACAATGAATCATGGAACACTTCATCAAAAACTAATGATGTAATGTATGGTGATTAACATAATAAAAAAAATAACTTTCTAAAAAAAAAAAAAAGAACATAGGCAGAAAGCCACACAAGATAATATCTAGTTCTAAGCTGATCTTGCTCCACCGTAGACCAGAGTTAAGATCCACAGGGCCTGTCCTGCCAAAGCTCAAGGCTCTTCCTTGCTAACAGTTGCCTGCCACACCCAACCCCTGGTGACTACAGGGGGGAAAAGCAACACGTGCCTACCTCACAACACCCTATATCGGACTGTAGCTGGATTGTTGGGCCAGATGTCTACAGTCTTCCAAGAGGCTGTAGGGACAAAAGTCACTGTGCCTACTACTACTTGGAATGTAAGTCCCTCAGGGCATCTGCCCTTAGTGCCCTACAGGATGGCTCCTTACTCTAGTACCTGCCTCAATCTTCCTCCCCACAACCCCTGTCCTGGGTAATCCGAAGAGCCACATAGATGGCCTACCCAACACTCTAGTGTCTCAATTCTTAGACATCCTCAACTCCAAAGTCCTTCTCCCTCCACCTGAACCAGCCACTCTCAACAACATGCCTGGAACTGAAACTGCTCAATCCCCACATCTCTAATTCAATTATCCCCCCTCTACCTGCCCATGTACACCTGTTCTTCTGCCATATGTGCTCACCTACATGGCAGGACTCTTGTCACTCCCCCTCCCACTTCGTTCTATACATTCTACCTTCTAAACATTCCTGGAATCTGTTGCATTCTCTCTATTCCCACTGGCACCACTCTCATCCAAGTCACCAACAGAACCCATTGGGCAACTGCAAGAGCCTGCTAACCAGTTTCCTGACGTCCATACACACCTCTGTCAATGCACTCTCCACATTACACTCTACACTCACTTGCAAATGCACCTCTGGCCATCTGATCACCTCTATGCCCTGCTTCAGCTGCCCCTCGATTGCATCCCTTCAACTGGATCCCACTACTCTGAGGATGAATATGGTCTCTACGGCCCTGTCTGGTACATCCCCGTATTCCCTAGCTTCAGCTGGTGAAGCTCACTGCACTCCAGGTACGAGAGTGGTATCTGTCAGTGCTTCAGAGAGCACATGCTCCTATCCACTCCAGGATCGTGACCTGGCTATTTACTCTGCCCAGACGCTCTCTCCCTAGATTCCTTAGCATACCTAATGCTCACGCATCTTAAATCCTACTTTCGGCACCAGTTTCCCAGGGAAGCCCTCCCTGACCCACTAGACTAGGAGTCAGCAAACTTTTTCTATAAAGGGCCACATAATAAGTATTTTACAAACCATATAGTCTCTGTTGAAATTACACAACCCTGCCATTGTAGCGAGAAAGCAACTAAAGACAATATGTAAAAGAATGAATATGGCTGTGTTCCAATTAACTTTATTTATAAAAATAGATGGTGGGGCACCTGGATGGCTCAGTCATTAAGCGTCTGCCTTCGGCTCGGGTCATGATCCCAAGGTCCTGGGATCGAGCCCCGCATCGGGCTCCCTGCTTCGCGGGAAGCCTGCTTCTCCCTCTCCCACTCCCCCTGCTTGTGCTCCCTCTCTCGCTGGGTCTCTCTCTGTCAAAATAAAATAAAATAAAATCTTTAAATAAATAAATAAATAAATAAAAATAGATGGTGTGGGGGGTGCCTGGGTGGCTCAGTCGGCTAAGTGTCTGACTCTTGATTTCAGCTCAGATCATGATCTCAGGAACGTGACACTGAGCCCTGCACTGGACGCTGGGCATGAAGCCTGCTTCAGATTCTCTCTCTCCTCTCTGCCCCTCCCCCAACCCTACCTCCCACCCCCCAAGTCTCTAAACAAACAAACAAACACAGATGGTGGGCTGGAGCTTGCTACTCTGCTGTAGACCAGCCTAGGTCCTCCTGTTACATATTCTCACTGCATTCTGCACTTCTTTATACCATCCATCACTATAATTATACATATCATTTTTAATGTGTCTTTTACATTAGACTGTATGTTCTACAAAGGCAAAGATCATTTTGGCCTTGTTCACAGCTGTACCTCCAAAGTTCAACACAGGTCTGGCAAAAAGTAAGTACTCAATTTGTTGAGTAAATAGTGAGAAAATAAACATCTTTAATATATGGTGGGCACAAACAGTAAGAAAAACACTAAAATCCCCAAAACAACAACAACAAAAGAGGTAAAAGCTTAAAACTATTAATTTTCCAAAGAAGAAATACAAGTGGTGAATAAACACTTAGAGTGTTCAAATCCAATCCTCCCTCCCTCCTCCCCTCTTCTTTTTTATGCCTAGCAAACTTCAAGTTTGGGGTTTTGTTTTTTTAATGCTAATACTCGGTGCTGTCCCAGGGTGCACTGTGGTGAGAAGGCAAGCAGACACGGTCATTCTGAGACCAATCTGGCACCAGAATCATGAGGTTACTTTGGGCCCAGTAATCCTACTTTAGAAATTTCGTCTACGATAAAGGCAGATAGGGAATTATGGCCCAACTATACGCATCATGGTCCTATTTCTAGTAACAGAGAAGAGGAAATAAATGAGCAACAACAGAGAAATGATTGAGTAAAATAGTGGCAAGTAACTGCACTATTTAAAACAAAAGTGTAGTCTCAGTAGAATCTCCACAAACTGCAAAGCAGTTTGTAAAATGAACACAAGGAGGTGCCCTCAAAGGCCAACAGAGGCCATGTTAGCATGGTGGAACTATGAGTGATTGAATTTTCTTCTTTAAACTGTTCTCTATTCTTTAAAATTTCTGTGATGGACATGAGCTAATTCCAAAGTCTGGGGAAAATAAATGTTTAAAGGAACTTGACAGAATGTTATATGGCCGTTAAAATGATTACTTTGAAGAGTGTGACAAAACAGGAACACGCAGTCTGACGTGGCAGTAAGGTAGGAAAAGCAGAGCTCATATTGCTCCTATTACACATCTGTGAAATTATGTCATTCCAGGTATTTATGGAGGAAATAACTGGAAGTGGGGACATAAAAATGAATTAAAATAACCGTGAAGCGGGACGCCTGGGTGGCTCAGTCGGTTAAGCATCTGCCTTCGGCTCAGGTCATGATCCCAGGGTCCTGGGATCCAGCCTGGCATCGGGCTCCCTGCTCCGCGGGGAGCCTGCTTCTCCCTCTGCCCCTCACCCCCACTCACTCTCACTCTCCCGCTTCCTCTCTCTCTCTAATAAATAAATAAAATCTTAAAAAAAAAAACCATGAAGCTATTCTGATGTAATAATTGAAAAGAAGATAAATGTAATTCAAAATTAAAGTTACACACCATTAAAAAAAAAACAAAACAGCTCTTTGGCTACTGTGTCAAGAGCAAATTATGAAACTCTCACTAAATCCCCAAAAGACAAAGAAGGAAACTGGAGTGCCAAGCGGATACTGTTAAAGCATCGGGCTATAATACATTAAATTGTTGCTTCTGAAGTAAAATCTGCCTTGCAAGGCACATCAGTCTAAAGCAGAGGCTGTTCGCTGTAGCTCGCATTCGAAAACTTCTCCACCTGCTCTGCCTGACTTGAAGGACTTGATAAATAAATGTTGTTTCATTATGAATTACAGATCTGACTGGGAAAGCCCCAAACCACAGTTTTAAACAGAAATTGTCATTTTTAGACAGATTTTCAAACCATCGGGCTCCACCCTGATAAAAGCAAAGTATAAAACCTTGCCATTTATGTAATAAAGGCTGACAATTTTTCCAGCATGATTTTCTATGCTTGAAAAATTTATCGAGGGGAAGTAAAATCAATTCCTCAAAAAAAAAGTCCTCTGAGCAAGACGTCTATTGGCTAAAAAAAATAACCGATCATACAAAAACCTAACAAGCTAATTGCAAAACCGCAGATCCTACTTCAACACCCTACCTTTAAGGAACCTACTAATCTGAGTATAGGATTAAAATCCCAGAATTCAGAAACATAATTTTGGTTGAACTACTGACAAACTGACTGGGATGTAAGAAATACACCACCACGTTTCACTGGTGCCTTTTGTTCGTCCATCTTCACCTCCCAACTTTCTAAGCTCGGCAATTCAGAGCCAAAGCAAAAGTTCAGAAGCAAGCGCACACTCAGTCTTTGTCAACCAAAGATGAAACAGCCAATGTCTGAGAGTTTCAAACAAACATTTCAGACCCGATATTCTGGCCGACAAAGCAGCAGAAATGCCAGTAGCTGTATTTCTTCCTTCCTCTCTTCCTCACTGCAGAAACAAAGAGTCCTTGTTTTTGCATGTGGCTCTTGCCTTATTTTATAGCAAGCTGGGGCAGCAGAGAAAGGAGGTCCCACTTCCAAGACTGGCGGAGCATGCATGCCTGACAAGGTGTCAGAGGATGCTATTTTGGAGGGGAAAAAGAAACAAAAGGACAAAGCTTAAAAGAAGAAGAATGAAAGTACCAGGAGGAAGCAGATTTGAGGTTCTGCATTTTAATTAGAAAACTAGCAAAACATAGACAATGCAACAGCTACTGACAGGCCTTATCACCAAGAGTGGGAATATACAGATCTTTCAAAAGGCAAACTAGTTTAGGAGTTGAGACGGTCATCAGAAGGCCGTCTCTGATAGTCTGCAATTATAACCACCAGTAATCAGTGCCAGTTTTAGAGACATTTTGAAAATCTAGCCAATTAGGTCTAGAGTTTAAAATAAAGCTCTGTTTTCTGGAGGATTTTCTTGGGAACAGCATCAGTGCTTAGGGAATTAGCTGTTGGTCTTTCAAGCTGGTGATAATCACTGCCACAACTCGTCTTAATCACAGAAACGCCTAAGAGCTCATCAGCCATGCACACCTAGAAACAACCAGATTCTAAACAACAGTTTAGACTTGGTGACTTGAGTCACCAAGCTCTCCCACACTACCGCACTAGTATGCAATTCTTTTTGGAAAACCAAACCAAACCAAACCAAACCCATATGTCCACAGGCATAAGTTCTGCTATGCCATAGGCATCATCCCACTCCACAATATAGTGGCAAAAATGACAGGATGGGTCAAAATCATGAGAATTTATACCATTTTCTTTTTAAGTGTTTTTGTTTGTTTTAGAGAGCGAGAGCACGAAGGGGTGAGGAGGAGGGGAGAAGCAGAGGAAGAGGGAGAGAGAGAATCTTAAGCAGGCTCCATGCCCAACGGAGAGCCCCATGTGGGGCTCCATCTTGGGACTCCAACCTGAGCCTAAATCAAGGGTTGAACACTTAACCCAGTGAGCCATCCAGGAGCCCCTATACCATTTTCAAAGACGATCAAAATTGCCAATAGGATGGTTCCATTTTTCTTAGCATAATTTATTATTCATACCAATAAACGTATTAGGATCCATTAGGATCTATCATGCCCTACAGGTCCCCTAAATTCTCTATCTAGAAGCTTAAGCAACTGCATTTTTCCCGGCTGAGAGGGCTTCCTTTCCAGTCCCTACTCAGCCTTATACTGAAGACTCAAAGACAGCGATGCTGGCCAAGGAGCTGGCCAAGGAGAGAGCAAGAAGGAAGTTTTCCTCTGAGGTCACAGAAGAGTGAGAAATCAACCCCAGTTGCCCAGAGAACCCACGCTAACTGCTTCCTATATTCAAGGTGCAGCCAGATGACAGAATCTAAGAAATTAGGGAAGACTTCCGGGGTCCCCTCTGGAACACTGAGTCTAAAACGATTGAGCATCCCCAGTGAGATCGCCAGGCACAAGAAGCTTTATTTAGTCCTGATGCATAGTGGGGAGAACACTTCCCAGAATGCGAAGAAATTACTTTGGGAGGCATTACTGGACAGTTTCCACTGTCAGAAAGTTCTTTCCTTTCGCCTGCCTTCTCGCCCCTTCCACCCGCGGGCAGCCTTCCTCGGGGTGTCAGGCCTCCAGAGCCTCACAGAGAAATCTATTCCCTCTTCCAGGGGCTGGCCCTTCAAACACGTGCAGACAGCTGTCACTCGGCCGAGTCACCTCTCCTGGCTTGCTCAACCACATCTGACATCCGTAGGACTAGATTCCTAGTGTCTTCTCCTTTCTGGCCACCCTCCCCTCACTGCGCTCTTATCAGTCAAGACAGCGCACACCCGTGCCCACACGTGGGTTTGCGCAAATTTGAACCCAGGGCCTCTGAGAGCCGGTGGGGGAGCCTGGGGGCGCCGTCGGCCCCAGTCCCCGGGCGCTGTCCTTCCCGGAGCCCGACCCAGAAAGCCCCGACTCCCCGCAGTTGCAGCCGGTTCTCGGTCCGGGGAGCGCGCCCCGCGCGGGCCTCCCTTACCTGGCGCTTGTTCATCTTCCTCAGGTCCCCGAAGATGTCCAAGCCGGACGCCGGGAGATGCGTCCCCACGGCGCCCGCGCGCACCATGGCGGGCTCTCCAGGGGCCGAGACTGCCCACCCTCTCCGGGCGTCACAGACAGTCGCTGAGCACCGACCCGACCCGGCCCCCGCCTACCAGCCCTTGTCCTTGCTGGTCACGTGACCGGCAACTCGCTCGGGCGCCTGGGAATGGTAGTTCTCTGCGAATCGTAGCCACCAGTCTGCCTGGAAGGAACTGGGAAGAAGAAAACTACCACTCCCAGAATGCTGCGGGGCGAGAGGCTCGTCCAGTGAAGACCCGGGGCTTCTAGGGAGGGCAGCGACGGGACTCAGGAGCCTTGTCCGACCCTTCCGAGCGGACTTGGGGGAGAGGGTGATCTTGCATATCGCAGGGACAACTCGGGGAAGCGACTATTCAAGAGGAACTGAACTCCTCAAGGCTCTGGTCAGGCGCCAAGAGGACACCTAAAGCTCCCCGGCATTCGCCTGCCCGTGTATCTTAGCCATTGGATGACTGCGCCGAGCGGAGGCGGGGCCTCTACACAGGCAGCTGGCTGGGCTGAATCGGGGAGGAGCTTAAAGAATAACATGGCTGGTGGGCGGGGCTTGGAAGAGGCGGGATTTTTGAAGTCGCAGAGTTCTACGCTCTGCAAGAAGTAGTAGGATTTGAATGCGAGGAAGCATCGTTGTATCCTCTTGACCATGTTGTGTTGTGTTGCAATAAATATTAATTGAACGAATAAATAACCACCTAATTTTATACACGAAGCAACAGGCACAGAAAGTCTAAAGGACCTGGCCAAGGTTAAGGGTCAGAGTCTGAAATAGGACTCAAATTTTACAATTTCCAATTGTAGATTAGCTAGATCATTCATTCACTCAGTTATGCATTATTTATTTCATTCTTTTATTCATAACTCTTTCTGAAGCATCTACTATGCACCTGGCCCTTTTCTAGGCACTTGAGAAACATCAGTGAACAAAATAAGATGCCTGCCCTCATAAAACTTACATTCTATACCTTCTAACAGAAGTAGATATAATAAATGAGTAAATTATACAGTACCTAGAGGGCAGTGGTGCTATGGAAATAAGAAAAGGGAATAAGAGGAATGAGGTGCTCTGGGTGTAGGGGGCAGGTTGCAATTTAAATTATCCCAGGGGTCCCAGGGTGGTTCAGTCAGTTAAGCATCAGACTCTTGATTTTGGCTCAGGTCATGATCTCAGGGTCATGAGATCCAGCCCAGAGTAGGGCTCTGCGCTCAGTCAGTGCGGAGGCTGCTTGAGATTCTCACACTTCCTCTCCCTCTGCCCCTCCCCCTGCTCACACTCACTCACGCACTCACTCACTCATTCACTCAATAAATAATAAATAAAATCTTTTCAAAAAAGATTTTTAAAAATATTTTATTTATTTAACAGAGCAAGAGAGAGCACAAGCAGGGGGAGCAGCAGAGGGAGAGGGAGAAGCAGACTCCCCGCTGAGCAGGGAGCCTGATGTGGGTCTCGATGCGGGGCTCAATGCCAGGACCCTGGGATCATGACCTGAACTGAAGGCAGACATTTAACTGACTGAGCCACCTCAGCGCCCCTTAAAAAAACTTTAATTTAAAAATAATAAATAAAAATAAATAAATAAAATATCCCAGAAACGAACTCACTATAAAGCTAATGAAAGGTAAACTTTGGGACCCTTTACTTGCAAAGGCCCCTTCCAAGGACCTGGAGAAGAAAATGGCCAAATAGTTTTGTAAAATTTTCAAAAGCAAGATATTTGAATTGCTATTGGTTGAATCTTGTTTCTTTGCATTCCAACCTCCCCTCCATCATACTTCATGTTGGAGGGACAAAGAGCATTTTGAGGTTCCACCTAAGGAGAAGTTGAGTTGAAGATACATTTAGTTTGGGTTTAGTAGATATATTTATGTGGTTCATGGTCATTCCCTGCCATCCTGGTGTAGGAATGGTCTTAGCACTATGCTCTTGAAAACAGAGAAAGAGGCCCTTTGAAGAAGGAGACAAAGCGGAAGCTGTGACACCCGACCAGCCATCCTTCCAACCTACCCCTGACCAAGGGCAGTGTCCACACTCCTCCATGTGATGTGGTTGTGACAGGTGTGATCTTGGACATCCCTCGGGAATCAACTCTTGATGCTACTGGGCCCCCAGTCTTGTTCTTACGAAGGAAGTCATTAAAGTCATTAAAGTCAAGTGAGGTCTCAAAGTACCATGAAGCCACCCAACTAGGGCTCGGACTTTGTCTCTTTGTCTCTGTTCTCAGCTCCTTTTTCACCATCTCCAGCAGTGCTGTGATATCAAATAATCTTTTTTTTTTAAAGATTTTATTTATTTATTTATTTGACAGAGAGAGACACAGCGAGAGAGGGAACACAAGCAGGGGGAGTGGAAGAGGGAGAAGCCGGCCTCCCGCTGAGCAGGGAGCCCACCGCGGGGCTCGATCCCAGGACCCTGGGATCATGACCTGAGCCGAAGGCAGACGCTTAACGACTGAGCCACCCAGGCGCCCCTCAAATAGAGAATCTTAACTCCTAGTGGCTTATTTCCTCCAAGGACCCAGGAAAAGGAGCAGAGTTTAATTACTGTAGACCCTGCTGCCAATATCTGGGGAGGTCTAGTTTAGTGCCAGAAATCAACCAATCGTCTGCCTAGGTGTTGCTTCTGGAATTGTCTTTGATTTACTGCATATCTCAAACTAAAACATAACATTGCTTTATTTATCCTTTTTCCATGGAGAAATAAGCATACTAATTTTCTGAGTGAAATCCCCCAAACACAGGCTGATGCCATACACCCTCTCTTCCTTCAAGTGCCATAATCAGAAATAAAACTCTAAGAAATCTTCTACACCACAATTGGTCCACTCTCTTAATTATTGATTTGTCTGCTCCACTGAGCACTAGAAATCCAGAGGTGAATAAGACACAGTTCTTAAATCCAGTTGAAGCTGTAAATGTGCAGGACATGATTATCGTATAGGGTAACAGGTGAAAGGGGTGGGGCATACTAAAAAGTATGCGATCTAGTTTAGAACCCTCTTAGCACATCTGCGTAGCCCTTGTGAGTGGGGAGAGGAATTGCTACAGAGGCAACACCAGCTAATATTTTTCCCATACTTTGCATCAGATAAGTGCTTCTTTATACTTACTATTAATGACAAAAACTGTATTTTACAGAAAATGGAAAGTAAAGTCTCAGAGACGATAAGCAGCTTGCCCAATGTCACAGAGTTAAGAAAAGACAGAACCAGAACTTGAATCTGGGTCTGCCAAATCCAAACTTATGCTCTCATTCCCTACACCACGCTGTCTCTCCTCTGTTCTTTTCTGCCCTTTGCAGCCCCTGGGACTGCATGAGCAGACACAGTTCCTGGTGGGAATTCTAACTTTCAGTTTCTAAGTTCAAGCTACTGCCTACAGACTGATGGTATTAGAAATCATCATGAGCAGAATCTCAGGGATCCTGGTCTACTTGAGCTGGATGGAGAGAGGTAGGACTCGTTCTTAAATGGAGCACCCACACAGGAAGACATCAGGTGGATGACTTGGAATCTGGTCAGTTCCAGCGGGAACACTGGAGCTCGTCTGGCTGGGCACGAATGAGTCGCTTTGTGTCAGATCTGAATCAGCAGCACCTGGTTAACGGTGCCAGACACCAACATTCTGAGTCGCTCTGTGCTTTGCTGTCTCCTGCATCTGTGGAAGGATACGCCTCAGAAGAGCTGCACTGTTCCTCGGGGATGTAATCATCAGAGCGTGGAAATTTGGCTGCCTCTCCTTCTTCCTCCATCTATCTCCCACCTGTTGCCTAAGTGCTCTTGTCAAAATAAGCCATTTCTCCAGCTGCCACCTCTTCTATCCCACCCAGCTCTTCTGATTACTTCCCTATGCCTTACAGTCATTACAACCACACAGGAGGGATTTTATACTGTCAGGAATAGTACCAGGAAGGGGGGAAGTAAGAGGACATTCACTAACCAAAGATGCTCATTTCGATCTATGTCCCATGCTACTTGGCTGACATGGGAGACTCGAGAGCTTTTAAAACTTGGCATCTCAGTTTAACACTATTAAAAAAAAAAAAGTTAGGGAGACATTTTCTTACATTTGCTCCATCCATGAGGCTCAGTACTTTTTGCAAGAATTAGATAGACACAGGAAGGTAATTCCCTGTTGCTGGGCAACCGGAACAAGATTCAGGAGACCTGTGTTGTCCTCCTTGCTGTGCCCGCGCATGGCAGTACCACCTTGAACCACCCATCTTTCTCCTCGGGGCTCAGTTTCCCCGTCTGTAGAAACAAAGTTGTGGCCTCTCATATTCTGGGGCAGGTATAAATTTCACAGTCATGGCCCCTGGGGAGCAAAATGTAACTATCTTTTCCTAAAGCTTAAAAAAGTTATATTAAAGAGGTGCCGGGCTGGCTCAGCCGGTTGAGCATCCAGCTCTTGGTTTCTGCTCAGGTTGTGATCTCATAGGTCGTGGGATCGAGTCCTGCATTGGGCTCCACACTCACTGCTTGAAGATTCTCTCCCTCTGCCCCTCCTCTCTCCCTCTCTCTCCTCCTCTCTCTCTCCCAAATAAATAAGTAAATAAATCTAAAAGAAAAAAAAGAAAAGTTATATTAAAGCCCCCTCCCGCCTGGTTTGCAGCAACTTAATATAGTCACTTTCAGTTTTAAAACTGGGTCAATTTGCGAGTATTTGAATACTCTCTCCTACCCCTCTCTTTCTACCCCAGATGACAACTGAGTTAAGCGGGGCAAATCCTGACTTTTAGGGACTGTTGTTTGCATCTGCCTCCCCCTCTTGATCTGTCCCACTCCTGTTCTAGAAATCTTGACAATGTAGTTTGTCGTATCTGGTCCTTGGATGTGAGCCTTCCATTGCTGAGTCACTGGCTTCTGTCCTCGCTGCCCCTTCATTGAAGTGCCCAAGGTCCTGTCATGTCCTCGGTCTTCATATGCACACACATCAACTCAAGCCCCAGGCTTTGGGGGTCCACCAGCTCTGCTCTTTGGGTCCTTTCTTGGCTAGCTTCCCCAGTCTTTCTGACTCCCAGGTGAGTTTGGTACATCACTCAGCGTCATCTGGCCTTGAAACCCTCCATCCATTTCTATTGTGTTATCTTCCATCATTG